AGAGGAGAATAATTCTCCCTCCTGGTGGGAGGACAGTACTCAGCACCTGGATCTATAAACTGGCCTATGAATTTCCGCCTCCTTTGTAGATGTGGTGTTTTAGATCACCTCTCTGCAGGCTACAGAGAGTGAAAAGACACTTGAGAGTGCTCAAAGCAAGCATTTTCTTCCTGATTCATCTCAGCAATGACACAGATCATTTCATGAAGAGTCCTATTCTCTTTAATGTACTGTGACATGGCCCTAGCACCTCAAAATGCCCCAATGGGCAGACAGGGAAACACACATGACATTGTAAACATTTGTAGTTATGCTAAGAATGATCACTTTTTACACATAGACACCTCAAGGTGGAGAACAATATTTGGGGGTTAAACAAATATAAGGATGTAAAAACAACCCTTTAAGATTAGAAGTTTGATCTGATAATCACTTCTGAGAATTGGTCATATTTTATAGTTACAGCTACCCTCCACTGCAACCCCAAGCAGAGGCTTTTATAAATGTTTCCAGGAGAAGCTCTAAATGGTTTAAGCTCATTATAGAAAATCAAAGAGCCAAATTTTTCATACACAGAGCAATAGCCTATAGTGGACAGGCTACACTCTGGGAGACAGAGAGAAATGTGTTGGGGTCCAATACTGCCCACAACTGCCTTCTGCCTCCTCCTCTGAAAAACTGGGGAGATAATCTGTGGGAATGGAAGAACAGCTTTCTTTTTGAAAGTGGATGCTGTGAAGTTCATTGTGCCCCCCACCCCAGTGCCCCAGATTCATATGCTGAATTCCTAACATCCAACGTTAACCTTTATGGAAGCAACTAAGGCTAAATGAGGTCACAAGGGTAGGGTGTTGTTGTTCTGTTGGGAAGAGACAGAAGAGAGCTGGCCCTCCTTCTGCCCTGAGAGGACATGGCAAGCAGGCACCTGTCTGCAAGCCAGGAAGAGAGCTCTCACCAGAAACCAAACTGCCGGACCTTGATCTGGGACTTCCAACCTCCAGAACTGTGTGAAACAGATTTGTGTTGTTTAATCCACACAGTCTGTTGCATTTGGTATTAGCAGCCTGAGCTGACTAAGACGGTGGAATTAGTACCATCCCTGTGTTTCCTGAGATGAAGGACTGTCAGTATCACATAGTTAGTGCTGTGACATCCCACTAACAAGATGACCCCAGACTGAAAGCTGCTTTATGCTGTGTTCTTTGTGGACTATTTACGGAGATGGGGAAAGGGAGGCTGATATTAGCGAGATATCCATACACAAACTTTAGATACAGCAACCTTATTGACATATGTTGAACACATGGTGTGGGGTTGTGAATATATACATATGCAGGATGAACATACTCTGTGGTTAAGAACAGGGTTTGAATCATGGCCTTGCTACTTACTAGCTGTGTGTCTATGGGCGAGCACTTAGCTCTGAGCTTCAGCTTCTTCTTGCTAAAGTGGGAACAACAGTTGTATCTCACAGTATTGCAGGGAGGGTTAAATGAAAATTCTCAGAACAGTGACTGGTGGTAGAGCTTCACGAGAGTTCGTTTTACCCTCACAATGGTCCACATACACACAAACACATTCACAGGGTTCTTACAAAAATATGAAATATAAAAAAAGGAAAAAATAAATCACAGCATTTCTATGCCCTCTGCACTCACTTCACATAGCCCATAGAATTTCCCTATCCTACCTGACCTTCCTAAATATTAAACTCTGTGGTTAATCTGTAAAATCTCATGATTACCTTCACACTTATTGGCCACTTGTGCTTGGAAGAGACTAGAGGAAAAAATTAGGATGTGTAATAAGAGATAAGGGGCTGCAAAAATGGGGAATTACAGAGTAGGCTTAGATTAGAGGGATAAGAAAATGCTAGATATAATCATTTTATAACTACACGAGCTAAAAAAAAGAGTTCCATGTAAATTGTAAATTGAAATTTCATTTTCAAACTACTGCTATTACTCAGAAGAAAATATTTTCCTCAAATCACAGCTGATTCAAATAAATAACTGAATTTTTGTTTTCACATTTATGCACTGCAAGGCATACATTAGACTCCAAGAAAAAGTAACTGTGACAGAAGTCTGCAAAGATACTTCATTAAACTAAATCAAAACTTTTCTTACTCTCTCTCCCATAAGTCAAATTTGACCCCATGCTTTTCCATTTAGGATTCATGTTTGTAAGGTTAACTCTGACCCAAGGTGTTGAATTTCCTCTCAACAGAAATTCAGCTCCTGCCATAGATGTTACTGTGGCATCACTTCACCATGGGAAGGAACAAGTGGGTCTGACAGTGGGCACAATAAAACATATTAAACTGATGTGCTTTGTGCTGAGAGTGGGAACATTCAGAACAGCTTTCTCCTCTTACTTTCATCAATCTTTGAAGAATCTTCAACCTTGGTTATTTTTCTTCTATGTAGTCATGGACTCAGAAGACTAATTTTGTTTACAAAGAAATTTTGATGGCCGGTAAATTTCATATGCTTTCTTTGTAAGAATTTAAAGATCTTATTTATAACCACTAAATTAAATCTGTCAGTTCCTCTCAATTTTACAAGTGATTTGAGTTTGATGTAAAATTTAGAACCTATCAGTCTGAACAACTCTATACCAGCTGTGATTGAATAAGGCATCAAGTAGCATAATATGTGGCAGAATCTTTCTAAGTAGCATTAGATGAAGAAAAAGAACAATTGCCCAAATATGTTAATAGACTCAACCACTGGCAATAATTCTTGGGAATTCCTTTTTCCCCCTGATAATGGATTTGATTTCATTATTGATATGACAATCTGAGAAAAATCCATGGAAAGTATGTAGTCAGAGACACTGGGGAATCATTTATTCTGTTTTCTTTTATAAAAGGACCAGTTTACAAAATATTTTTTGGTAGCTTAAAATAATATTAAACAGGGGCGCCTGGGTGGCTCAGTTGGTTAAGCATCCGACTTCGGCTCAGGTCATGATCTTGCGATCCGTGAGCTCAAGCCCCACATCAGGCTCTGTGCTGATAGCACAGAGCCTGGAGTCTGTTTCAGATTCTGTGTCTCCCCCTCTCTCTGACCCTCCCCCATTCATGCTATGTCTCTCTCTGTCTCAAAAACAAATAAACGTTAAAAAATTTTTTTAAATAATATTAAACAAAGCAGTTAAGTGAAAAATAACAGCAAAATCCATTTATTAGAAAACTTAGGCATGTCATCACCTAAGTTTCTAACAATGTAAGATTTCATCTGGTTCACTTACTTAAAAATTTTTTGGAGGGCGCCTGGGTGGCTCAGCCGGTTAAGCGTCCAACTTCGGCTTAGGTCATATCTCATGGCTAGGCTCGTGAGTTTGAGCACCGCATCAGGCTCTGTGCTGACAGCTCAGAGCCTGAAGCCTGCTTTGGATTCTGTATCTCCCTCTCTCTCTGCTCCTCCCCCACTTGTTCTCTCTCTCTCTCTCAAATATAAACATTAAAATTTTTTTTTTTAAATTTTGGGGTGTTTTCTGTCTATTTTTCTAAATATAATTTTAAAAATTAGGAATTATCTGCCTATTTATTTTATAAAACCGCTTCTGCTAATCAATTATTCTAGCTTTGGATCTGGCCAGCACTAATATTTAATTTACCTGAGTAAATGTATGCTAACTGATCAGTGTTCATCATTAGTAGTTTACAAATATTACCATTTAGTAGATATTGATCTTTCAAAAATATTTTAAGTGGAAATAAGCAGAAGTAAGTTTAGGTGATTAATGGAAATGTTAACTCTGGGTAGACATTTTTATATATTGCTTCATTTTTATTACTCTATGTGTGTAATGTCCAGAGCCATGTTCTCTCTGAAGAAGAAGAGAGATCCTCTTCTTCATGTTCTCTCTGAAGCAGAGGCATGGTGGGAAGACTCAGAAGAGAGAAACCTGAAGACCGAATCATGAAATAAAATACTACTATGTGGAAAATCTTATGTTAGTGTTAACATTCAGATGCTCAATACGCAAACATTAAAAAGCATTCTTGTCGAAAGAATGTTTTCCTCCAATCTTACGAGATGGTGCCTTCTGAGACATGATGCCTGCAAGCAGGTTCTGCTGACAGTAGACATCCAAAGCAAGACACAGAATATACAAACTGTAGACTCTAAGCCAGCAAATACTAACATCACTGACAACCAGTTGCAAAAACTTCTAAACTCCCCCTTTCTTTAAAGAATATAACATGCTAAAGAAAATACAACACATAAACTATTCTTGTTCTCCTCTAGAATTCTACTAATTACCTTTGGGGTAAAAACAATGGAAACCTAATTTATCAGTCTGAAAATCATGGTAATAGCAAATTCATATCTACCTGGGAATTGATGGATAACTCTTATTTATCTCCATTTTCCTTTGTGTAAAAACCATGCCTGTTTCTCTACATGAATCAGCTTTTAGCAAAAGAATGGAAGGAGAATAAAATACTCTGAATCACACCAGCATCTGATTCATGGAATGAAAGCTTTCTGACTTCAAAAAGAACAATAGTAATGCTCTAAGAAAGTTGTCCTAACTTTGTTTTTATTTATTAAATGAAGCTTACCGTAGAGAAAAAGCTCACATGATTTATGGTTTTTCTCTGTAGAGCTACAGAACTTTAATCCATAGCTCATGAAAGGGTGTAAGAGCAGCTTGAAAATTATGCTGAGCTTAATTATACTTAATGTGAATTATTCAGAAGTGCAGACAGAGACTAAAAATTTATTTCATACAAAGAAGCTTGACATTTTAATTGGTCCTTCAGAATAGAGACAAAACAATTTCCTCTCAAGAAAATTTACATCTTCCCCAACAGACCTGCAGCTTCAGCCAAACAGAACTTCATTAACAAGATTAATTATCACGCCAGTGTCTGCTTCATCAGGTGTATGGCCCAGGTGATAAAAGGAATACAAAATAATGACTGACATTCCTAACAGATAGAATTGATTCAAGGAGAGAAAGGATGACAGATTGAGCCACCATACCTTGGTCATTAGCCATTTTGTCAGGGTGTTCTACTGCGGGGGAGAAAGAAATATTATTAGACATTGACACTTCCTAGCAAGAAAGCTGACACTTCAAATCAACAGTTTTGTTAGCAAGTTTTCGTATCAAGGCCAAAGCCCTGTTGAAATAAAGTTGATAAGGAACCATGGTTGATGTGATTATTTCTATTAAATAGTAGAGGAAAAAAAATGAAAACACTGGTTTTGCTAGGCGTGTTCTTAAAAATATGTGATTTGTTTTATTCCTCTACACCTCAAGAATGATCATCATGTGAGCTTAATTAATATACAATACATACAAAAAATGCATGCAATTACCAAATACTTATCACCCGTATGTTTTAAATAAGCTAAAGAAGCTATTTTTTGTCTTCAATTTTTTTTCAACAAGAGAACTTAACTAATTTCCACATGGATGGAGTAAAATAATAGAATGTAATAAATATGTTTTAATCTAAATGATTTGATAAGTTTTTAGACCTTGTGGAGAAAACTCCTACTGCTCACAACTTCTGGCACATTATGAATACCGTTCTTGAAAATGATTTTTTTTCAATTTAAAAATATCCCTAAATTTTTTAAGGTGGCTTCTTTTCTATTAATAAACGATAACTGTGTAGGAGGTAAGTCCATGGTATCATTACTTTAATAAAATTGTGATGTGACATTTTGACCAATGTCGATCATTGTCAGTCTCCATCAATTAGGATTATTTCCCCTATCCTGGAGTTTCTTTGAGCTTCCAGTCTTCTGGGTTTATTGAGCTCAACTGTACTAAAACTTGACATGTAGGCTACTACCCTTGTGTTTGCTTCTTTATATGTCTCAGTTAAACTCACACAGAGAGAAATACGATAGTGTTCCTAGGGCAGCAACCTATAACCCAAGCACCCTAGTTCTCTCATTCTGGGTAGCTAGCAGTCTCCAGCAATTCCATCATCGTTGCTTGAAAAATAACTTAAAGCAAATATCTTAGAAGTGGTGGCCCTTCCTTTCCTGACTGAAGGTACACAAATCATTGACCAAAAGAATATATAGAATGGAAATACTTAAAAGCCCCTTTCAGATGAATAGGGTTTATGAACGTCACATCATAGAAGGACAAATTCCTAAACTTAGTTACAAATTTCTATCACTTTTAAAATAATTTCCTTTCTTTTATTTAAAATTAATATATAGACAAATTCTATGAAAAAAGGATAGACCGAGAAACGTATCTTAATCTGCAGTAGACTTTGAACGCTGAATGACTCTTTGGAAAATGGTATACACACAAGAGTACTTACTATATTAAGATTCTACCAGCTTTAAATAAATTTTATAAATGTCATTGTAGCTCCTCAAGATTTAACAAACATTTTTTTTTAATTCACCAGGTTGTCTAACCTAATCTTTCCTAGTCTAATCATCACAACTTAATTTTTTTCTTAATTTTCTCTCCCATTTCCCATTAAAGACTAATAACCTCTAAGGATACATTTTATTATAGTATTAGGAGACTGTTGATGAAAAGTGCTTTCGATAGGCAACTGCATTATCTAGTTTATAGAGAGGGATAGGATTTTTACCGAGATCCTAATGTAGTTTTTGAGACACAACACTATGTTGTAGGAAGTGCCACACCAGGTCTCTGGTAAGAATGAGGAGGGAATATGTCAGGATCATATGTGACCGTGCAATCCAGAAAGGGTGAAAGTTTGGCATCCAGAACAGGACACACTTGAGACACTACCCTAGTCAGCATCTCATATTTAGGGGACATATGTTTGGGATAACATCAATAAAAGGGAAAAAAAACAATTTCATCCCATTTTCTTCATTTCTCCCCTTTGTCTCACATATGTATTATCTAGTTTAAGGAAATTTTTATCAAGTGACAAGTAAATATATGTTATGGGCAACAATGTCATCCTATTCTTATCTTCTGGATTTGTTTTACTTTTAGTAATTTGGATTGGATATAACTTGAGAAATTTGAATGTCTCAAGAAAAATTATCAACTAGAGTATTTCCCAACAGTGATAAAATATATCCTAATAGTTACCTTTTATTAAAGACAAATAATGGCTTAAAAGTGTCATAATTTGTGTCTTGACTTTTTATTTGCCCCTGTCATTTGTCAAGAAAACCATGTATTTTGTCAAAAATAATTTGTAGACTAAAACTTTTTTGTATTCTGGTATGGAACTTTCAGTTCTATATCCTTAGGTGGGAAAGATGCTCACGTCAGTATGATGATTAGGGATGCCCAGAGAATAGACCATACTTTTGTGCTGTTTCATTGCCAAAGACTCTGCTTTTTTGTGTGTAGGTGACTCCACCTCTTCACAGAATCCCACTTTGGCCTGTTTTGGCAGAAGCATCCTGTCTTCCTATTTCTTGACAGGCCAACATGGAGAAGCTTAGTTTACTGGAGAGGACAACACATGTGATAGACAGAGATTGACATGCATCTTGTACCTCTTCCAAGGGTTTAACAGGGTATGGGTATCCTAATGGAGAGTATTTGGGGAAGCAAGGGGTATAACTGCAGAGTCCTATGTGGTTAGAGAATCAAGTTCAAGGTTCTTTTAATTAACATTCCAAAGAAACAGTCAGATGTACCACATACATGCATGTACACAAGGGTATTATAATTTAATCCTTTTTTAATTATAAATGCCATTTTCATTAACCAGTGATTACTGATTGAGTTTCCTATACCTCTCTTGCTGGTGGCTAAAACCAAAGACAAAACTCTAGTCTCTCATAGGAAATGCTACTGTCATTGCAAAGACTGTGTATGAAAGAATGAAGTTTGTAGACACCTGCCTGGGGCATGATTTGCAATGAAACACTTGCCTGTTACCCAGTAGACTACTGAGAGCTTTCTCAGCTTCAGGACAACATGTGAGCCTTTCTTGCTGTCAAACAAAGTTACATTCTGATGAACAGAGACCTTATGTTTTGAAGCAGCTTTGGAAACTAAAAATCTTAAATCAGAGAGCAGAAGCATGATTTGATGTCTTTAGGATAGATTTGGTTCATTGTGGCTTTAAATCTCTTATGAGTAATTTATTTGATGTAGAATATTTGTCATTGTAACATGTAGGATACATGCATGTACAATGTCAATTATTGATAAAGATAGGCAAGATCCATATTTCTAAATAATTTAGAATGCAATCAAGACACCTAAACCTTAGTTTACTATGTGACCAAGATTTGTTTTAAAATCGAATTGACTATTAATTGAGCATGACCTATCGAGGACAGACAATATTAAACATCCAAATCAAGATATTAGAAATAATGCTTGTGGACAATTATAACAAATTCCTGAATTTGTTCTCAGTTCTGAACATCATTTCATAGATGAGTTTAAGGCACTTAAGGTAAATGGTACCAAATGAGATACAGAGTTCATTAAATAATCTACAGGACGGTTATCAGTGTGGGTCTGTAAATCCTGTGATCACTCATCAGTCTGCTGTTTAATACACTTGGATGCCTTAAATCATCTTAAATCCTCCCTGAGATCTCTAGTTGGCACACGATGTGAGCATGAAATTAATTTGGCACTTGTCTATAGATAAAGACGAAGCATTTGTGAAACAGTATCTAGTTACATTTCATGCTCCCACAAAATGAAGAACCAGTTTCCTTTCAGTTGCTCATTTGGAGTGAAACCTGATTTAGACATGAAGTCCTAAAAACCCAGAGAGATGAAGATTAACTCATTTCCTCCTGCCTCCCTCCCTCCCCAACTTCTCCTCTGTCGCTAAGAACTGTCACTAAGGCTTAGTCTGAATGCTTGTCTGTGTATTCTTGGCAAACTTTCAGATTTAGCTGTTACCAAGTCCAGCTTTGAAAGGCTAGCTCCTTCACCAGAATTCAACAGTCTACTATTTATTAGGGTACCTTTCCTAGGGGAATTGAATGACTATACAATTATTCTAAGACTCTTCTTTCAATATGTGAACCAACTGGGTGAAAATGTCAACCATCCTCATGTTTCTAATTTTTCAGTTGTTTGCCATCATGTATTACCAAGTTTTCAGCCAGATATACAGACATAATGTGGTCACAGGTTTAAAAGAGAGTACCTGGCTTTAGAACAACACACATCATACCTAAATAAACATCTTTAAATATCAGCTATGAAACATTCAATTTTTTTTCAATTGCTAAATAACAGAGGCTCTTGAAACCATTTGTCTCCCAGAAAAATACTGTTCTAAAATAGTAAGGACTAACATGAAGTTTATTTTGATGTAGTCACTGTTCTTGGGCCTTACCATTTTTCTTTATGAAGATATAACTATGCTTGAATTGAGTAGCTATTTTTACTCTTGCAAGCATGGGGAGTTTTCTTCTAGTAATCATACTGCAAGATTTTTTTTTCTTGTTGCTACCCTAGGTCTTAAAATAAACACATTCATTTTGTTTGAGATTTTCTGTCTTGCCATATCAACTTTTCTTTTTACATATAAGGATAATAGTTCCTCAAAGAAAACATTTAAAAGGGCAGTAGTATGGCATTCACATAATTCAGTGCTTTTTAATTTTTATTTCCTTACATAAAATGGCAAAAAAGTTTCATTATATTTTGAATAGAACCACTATACATGAAATCAATACAAAATTCCAAAAGGATTGTAAATGAAAAAAAAAAAAAAAGTCAAGTTAAATATTCCTGCCTTGTGCCAATGGCAGAAAATGTGATAACAAAATAGACCTTTCTTTGACATGCTGGCTTTCAGCATAAAAATGTACATTTAAATTTATTTTTAATGTCCATTGTAGTCATGCTGCCAACAGAGATGGCAAAGACAGTTCCTAACTCAGACTCCATAACTATTTTACAACAATCCCACAGAAAAAGAAAGGCTATACTGTACTAGAAAATGATTCAAACCTTTCAGAGTCCTGAAGAGGATGGGATCAGACAGGGGCCCAACTCCTTTTGCATTTCGTGCTTGAATTCGAAAGTAATACATAGTGTCAAGGTTGAGATCCATGATTTGATGAGTAAGCCGATCACCACTGATTGTTTCCATAACCCAGTCATCAATTGGTATGTTCTTATCCAAGGTATAAAACAAGATGTAAGCTGCGTAAATAGATGAATTTAACTTTGTTTAGTATACTGACTGCATGCTATACTTCTGTTTCTAAACACTCATGTTTCCCAAATATAATTTGCAATGATTTTTTTACATTCACAATCTATAAACTACAGTATTCACTTTGGCAAGAAATGATTTTTTTTTTGATATTGCAAAGATCAGACAAATAATTGCTTCAATGTACAGAATCTGAAAACTGAATAGACCATTTGAAACAAAAATATCTGCCATATTTAAAAATACAAGGTTTCTGCTGCCTATAAGTCTTGTGCATGGATTCCTGACTGACAGGAACACTGAGATAACAAATGTGTGTTGTTTGTGGCGATACCGTTACGCAGCAATAGACAACAAAATAGGCTAATGGTGACCTTGGCAATCTGCACTCCAGGTGATTTCTGTATTCAAACAAGTTCAGGAATCACTGCTTTAGTTGATATGTGGAATCTGTACATTTTTGGCATCTGTTGAGATGTTGATGAGCAGATATGAATGTCTTATAATGCAGAGAGCTCAGTAAAAGATGAAAGACCCAGGTAAAGAATTCTGAAAAACTTGGAAAGACTATCTGAAACCTCCTTCTGGTTCATATTAAAATTGGAAGACCATAATTCAAAAGGGATTGTGAAATATTACTGGGCAAAGAAGTTGTTTCTGACTCATTTATAACAACCCCCATGATCAATATCAATACAATCTTCTAATATTTCTTGAGTCAGAATAGTCTCCATTCTTGTCCTGAATAGAAGACTCTGGTATTTTATTTATTTATTTGTTTGTTTGTTTGCTTGTTTTTAGCTTTTATCATGTGCATATCTTATCTTTTCAAAAGGATACGAACATTCCTTTAGTTCAGGAGCCATATCCTATATTGCTTTTTATTCTTCAGAGAAACCAATAAAATCAACTTCACATAATAGGTATTGAAACTCAGTTATTGAATGAAATCCTCTGGCCAGTCAGCACATAATGTTTTACATTCATGACATTTAATGCAATTGTAGAGGTATTATGGGCTGTTGTAACTGTTCAATGACACTGAAAACTTGGAAAATTGTATTCTCCTCTCAGGTCAGCCATATTTATTCCTGATTTTGTTTATTTATCATATGAGAATAAAATGTTTGCCTTCCTTGTGTTTTGGGGATTTTTTTTTCGTTCGTAAAAAGCATTCAAGTAAGCATTTAAAAATGACAATTCTGGCATCAAATAAGTAGGATTAAGTGTGTAAGATCAGCTTTTGACAATTCCCAATTTTATTCGAAGTGATTCCCTGATACGTATGGGGAAGTCTATTTTTTTTTTTTTTTTTTTTTTTTTTTTTTTTTTTTTTTTTTTTTTTTTTTTTTTTGTAAATTTGAGACCTGAGATGGAGAATAGAAACTTACTGCTACATCATTCTCTAATCATCAACTCTAAATATTGGCCTTAGAGAAACCATATAATTTCATTTGGATGTATGAGTTTGGTGTGGGACTGAAGTCTTAGCATACGGATTTCCACACAGGTTAGAACGAATCCGTTGGTTTCCCAGAACCTCTTTGTATCTATATGTTCATTTCTCTGTGTCCAAGTTTTTTTCTTCATCCTTTTTCTTACTTAAAAAAAGTCATTTTAGAGAGAGAGAGAACATGAATGAGGGAGAGGGGCAGAAAGAAAGAGAGAGAGACTCTCAAGCAGGCTGCATGCTCAGCACAGAGCCTGAAACAGGGCTTGATCCAACGACCCTGGAATCATGATCTGAGCTGAAATCAAGAGTCAGACGGTCAACTGACTGAGCCAGCCAGGTGCCCCTCTCTTACTTTTTTCTACTTTCTTTTTGTCTCTTACCCACCATAACCAGCCAAATAATGAAAACTATATCCTGTGTTGGGTGATAAGACCTGGGATTGTTAACACAAGTGGGCACTCCTGCTAGAATCACATTTGTCTAAATACGTATAAAATGTAACATCATACATCTGTCATTTTGACTACTTACACAAATAGGCAGTTGTAATTCCAAAAGGAAAGTGTCAGAAAATGTGCAATTCCACCTTTCTCCTCTCTTCTGTCTTTTTCTGTACTTATTCCTACAGACCAATGATTCCCTTCCATGGGTCACCTGCTAAGTATCAGGAAGACCAAGATGATTCCTACTAGCAAGGAGCTCAGCCCAGTATGAGCTCTTCCTCTTTCAAAAACTGATTCTAATAATCATGTATATCAATAGATATATAATGGTGGACTCATTTCTTCCTTCTTTGTGGTAAAAAAAATACTAAAAAAACAAAAACAAAAATAAAAAAAACACCAGGCTATGGATTCAGGAAGACCTGACTTCAAGCCATAGGTCTATCATTTTCTGACTTTGCAACCTTGACCAACTTGCTTAATCTAAGTATGTCTCAATATTCTCATCTGAAAATAAGTTGCCATGAGGTAATGCATTGTAGGAATCTAATATAGGTGGGTGTTCATATTATAATATCTTATATATAGTGACTACGTAGTAAATGCTCCATCAATTCATTTTTTTCTCTCCTTCCTTCCTTCTTTTCTTTTTTCTTTTTTTCCTAATATTAGTAAAGCTTAAGGAAGTGTCATATTTGGAAGAGCTAGAACTTTGACTTCAAGTCAAGCAATAGATTTAATAGCAATTCAATGATTATTCTACTCAATAAATATTTATTAATTAATTACTAAGTGTCAAGAATATTGATACTGAAGACAAAGTATTGATCAAAATCTGAAACCTGTTTTTATGGAATTTTCAGCCACATAATAAGCGTTTAGATTTTTTTCTCCTGATTATATGAGAAGGGGAGGTAGAGGAAGAAGTCAAGATGGCTAAATTTCCAACTTTGCAAAGGGGTGAGCCTGAAAATTTTTTAAATGATGGGAGTTAGAATATTTAGACACGTCTGACTGTAGTGAGTGCTCAGTGGGGCCACAATCCTGGACGGTCTTACAACCTATTACAGAATATAAGAATGCATTATTTGGCTGGTTATGGTGGGCGGTAGACAAAAAAGAAAAAAGAACAAAAAGAGAAAGAAGGGAGAGAGAGAAGGATTGGGGAATAGTAGGAGGTGCCAATAAAACAGGCAAGTAGAAATGTATAATATGAGGTAGGATATGCATGTTTAGAATTCCTTGGATGGAGATGCAGATTTGAGAGACATAAGTTTGTATTCACCAAAGTCTTGGCTATACTATACACACTTTTTCAGATAAAGTAACAAAGAGAACGAAAAGATCTATTTAAGAAACGGCAAATAAAATGTCTGCTAATAAGACTGAGAAGCTCTAGCCTGAAATTGGAAAGAAAAGTGGGTAGGTGATCTTACAAAAGTCAAGAGGAAAGAGAATTTAAGAAAGAGGAAAACAGGACTAGAACATCAAATGACACACAAAAAAGATAACATAATCTTATCCATTGGATAGTACTGATACGGAAACAATCTCTGAAGACCTAACTTTTTTTTTTTTTTTTAACTATGTTGGTCTCTGATGTTAATGTTGGATGCTGCATTTATTTAGATCAATGTTTCAAAACTCTAGCTGTACATTAAAATCACTTGGGGAGCTTTTAAAATATAGCATGCTCAATCCTTTCTCAAATAAATTAAAACATAAATCAGTTGAGAATCACTGATTTGAACCAGTTGAATACTAATAAGCTGGAGCAAAACATAGTGTAATAGTGAAGAGTATGAACATGAGTTTTAAATCCTAGCTCTGCTACTTCTTGGTTATTGGACTCTGGGAAAGTTATTTCCCCTAGAAATCTCTCGTCTCTTTATTTTGAGGTGGAATAATAGGAAGATGGAATCCCTTATAATACTAAAGTGCTTAGCATGATGCCAAGCATATAATAAATTCTCTCCATTCTCTCCTGAAAATCTCAGTACAAATTCCTAAGCTGCCAGTTTACAATCAAGGAATCTAGGCATTGGCATTATCTAGATCTCCTTCTTTGTCCTCTTTTTTTGTTTAATCTTTTTGAAGTATATATATTTACAAATTGATGCTCGGTTCTATGCAGAGTACATGAGTAAAGCCACACCCTAGAATGGATTTCAAATGGGAATAATAACAGCTGATTTGTTTTAGTTCTCACTGGACATCAGAGACGTTTCTCAGCAGTTTATTATTACATTCTACAAAAGAAGTTATATTACTATCCTTATTTTTATGGATGAGAAAGTGACCTTAGGAAAGTTAACTTACCCAGGTATCTCCCTCAGAAGCTTAGGGTCCTAACCACCCTGCTCTACTGCTGTGTGCATGCAAGGACTTGGGAAACAAAAGAAACATAAAGGTAGGATATGAGCACATTCTGCCACATCGGCACATACACGCTCTGACACTTTGGAAAAGAGCTCACATTTCCTTTGTACTTTAGAGAAAAACACAGTGTAGTAAATCTGGGCCCTCTGCTATATGGTATTTTGAATATTTCGGCATCCTGTTTCCTGGAAGTAATTTCACTGAAAGAATCAATATGTATGGAATAGAAACTATCTTAAGGGTTTTGCTCCCTGTTGAGTTGAGTCCAATTATGTCAACTTGATAATAACAATTTTGTTTTAATAAATAAACTAGGCTTTTGACGGTAAAAAGTATTGCCTCCCATACTTCTATCTTACCATCGTGAGAGATTGGATACCGAACATACAACTTTTAGTAACATATGTGGAGAAGGTTTCTTATACATGCACTGTCACTTTGGCACACAGAATTTTATTGCTTAGATTAATTTGCATTTCTTAATATGGAGCAGACTTCCATTTTTTCCCTGAAAAAGCAAAATTAAGCTTCCTTTCAGAGTTGAAAACACATTCCATTGTTTACATTGACTATTTGATGAGATTCATTTCAATAAGAGTGGAGAATTTGGGTAGTATATGACTTATTTTATCCCTTACCAAAAAATATGTACTTTTTCCATCAGAACTTGTTTTTATTTAGACAACTTCTATTCTGTTTTTTTTTTCTTCTTAAGCTTATTATCTATTGATTTACCATATGCTTATAAATAACTGTTTATAACATAATAAAAAAGTCATCATGTAAACAAACCAAAATCTAAAAAAGCACTGAAATAGAACCAATGAAAATACATCATAACACTGAGGGGAAACAGAAAGAGAAAATTAGAATGAGCCAGGCTCAGTTTTAGAAAGTCAGGCAGAGTGACAACTCAGCATATAAGATTTTGGGGAGATTTAATATCCCTCTTCTTTTTCTGTATTTGTCAGCTCAAATGAAAATTCTGTTTGCTATTGCACTAAGAGCAATTTCCTAGAGAAAACAAGTCTTCAACTTAAATTTAAATCTCATTTGGAATTTTCACATTATCTTTTCATTTTGGAAAATTCAGAAAGTAACTCACACAAAGTAAGTGTGCCATCTGAACTGTAATTTCCAAGCTTATCTCTGTTATCACAGAATTACTGAATTACTTTGCTAATTTATAATAGTGTTATCCACTTGTATGAAAAAAAAAGAAGAAAAAGGAGTGACTCTTACATGTGCCTAACCCAATGGTTCAAGTTAATTAGACTATAATGTGCACATTTTTAGTTATACAATATTTTTCATAATAATTATATGCTATGGAGACATCTATTAAAAGCCTAAAGTGATCATTTAAATGCAAAATCCCTGATAGAACTCCATTATATTTTTCATACTAAATTAACATTACAGGCTTCTAATGGATGCTTTAATTAGGCATTGATGTTATCAGCAATATTTGGCAAAATAAAATGTGTCACTGTGAAATATTCATTAAGTTCAATTTCTGTCAGTCAATATTAAGTATTTTATGAACCTTATGATTTAAGTAAGAAGCTAAAAGCTAAAGTGAGGAACTAAAAACCTCTTTTGTATGTGCCATTCAAAAATACATGGTCATTAGGTGTCTTTTGTATTTTATAACTGCCAAACAACCAGCTTCTTGTTAGTCATTTATGCTCAGAGACATTCCATTAGAAGGTTGTCCTAATGCTCCACAAGATGAAAGACAAAAGGTCTATACTAATTAAAATACACATCCTTCAAGAAGCAACTCAAGTGAAATGTGTGTGTGTGCATATTTGTAGGCACCTTTAGAAGAAATTCCATGGTCAGTGGGGGGCAAGAAGAGACAACCAGAAAGCATCAGGGAGTACACAGAAATTCTGGGACAGAAAACAAATACACAAAAGGCATGGCCAGTACACACGAGGTAAGCAATCGCAGGGCAAGCAGAGCAATGCTGGGAATGTAGCAGAGATGCTTACCGGTAATTTTCCCATTGGCTTCCAAGGGAGGCTGCCAACTCACAATGACAGCACGAGGCTTCCCTTCTCGAGTAATGACTGTCAAATCCTTGGGAGCAGAGGTCGGGGCTAGGAGAAGAAACAAAGACAAGGCCTTGTCATTGGATGTGAAAGAAAACAGACGTTTATGAGACTTTTAATCATGATGTTGACACTCAGAATCCATCGTGCAGTATATCATGTTTATCCTACCAGTTTCGATTTATTTCAAGTGTTTTAATTAAACAAGCAAACAAAAATACAGAAATTAATGTTTTTTCCATGGAAGTCAAATGACTTCCAAAGGTGTAAATATGGAAAAGAGAACGGAGTATGTGTGAATACAGAGAAGAAAAATATAACGGATATTTCCAAGTGAGCACCACACTAAACATTTAAGAATTATTATAAGAACAAAGAAATGTACACATACTAAGTGAGATTGATGGCTACCTGTCTCCAAGAGACAGAATTCTGTACCAACTGTAGGATTTATAAATACAAATGTCACCTAATTCTATATTTTCTTAAAAGCAAGAAGAAGAAAAAAGAAAAGAATGTACTTAAATGCATTAAGATGTTTTAACCATCTTTCCTAGGTAAACATACTAGGTTATCTCCTAACAAGAAGGCAAAAAAAATATTTGAAAATAGAAGAGGTATGGAATCTATGAAGGTCTTAGTATCAGTCTGGCGTGGAATAGGAAGGCACGAAACTCTGCCTTTCTTAGAGTTACTTTTCCTACATGTTGTTGAGGGGAGGGGCAGAATTTATCACCCCAAAATATGCCTCTTTGGCCTAAAGACTATTTTAGGCCTCTTTGGCCTAAAGACTATTTTATTTCAAGACCACAATAGACATCGGAAAAGCTCTGCAAATTTAGTAGATGTTACCCTTTTATAAGAGAAATTTTATTTATAAGAGTGTCTCCCTCTAGGTACCAAGAAGAGAATGACAAAATCTCTAGAAACTTTTATTAAGGAGAAGGTAGGAACTTAATTCTGCATTACAATGACACTCTTGTTTCTTGTGATTTGCCTGAAAACCTCCCATAACTGGCTTCCCACCCCACAACATACTCTTTTGTTTTTAGTTGGAGATTGTATATAAGGTGATGGCTTGGGACATTTTAGGGAGTAACAGTTTTCTGGGTATTCTCCATGTATACAGGAGGTATACATGTTTTTAAACTCCTTTTTGTTTTTCTCCTATTAATCTATCTTTTATTATGGAGGAGTCTCAGCCAAAGACCTAGAAGAATAAAAGGAAAATTATTTTTCCTCTCACATTGTGCTCAACAAAATTTTAAATATATTTTATTTTTAACATTTATTTTTTTATTTTTGAGACAGAAGGAGACAGAGCATGGGGGGAGGGTCAGAGAGAGAGGGAGACACAGAATCTGAAGCAGGCTCCAGGCCCTGAGCTGTCAGCACAGAGCCCGATGGGCTCGAACTCACGGGCCGGCGCAAGATCATGACCTGAGCTGAAGTCGGACGCTTAACCGACTGAACCACCCAGGCGCCCCTGAATATATTTTAAAGGTGGCAGTACACTGGCCAAGCCAGTCCAGTATCTTCCAGGCTTCTTTAGACCTGCTTTTTCACTGTCTATGCTTTGAAATGCAGTGAGTTTTCCTTCTAGGCAATGCACAATGCTCTGAGTCGATTATTGATAGTCTCTTTTAGTTACCCTCAGTTTGACCTGGGAAATTTTGGAACATATCTTAAATTCTATGAATGGGTTCTAGAGGTATTTCCAGATCTCTGCATAAGAATGCATGTGTATTACAAGAGAGGTACAGTTTGGTCCTAATTCTGAATTCTTCGCTTTTACCATTCTCTTTGGCTCTTCTGTTGGCCCTGTCATGGGGAATCTGAGTTACAGTACTTCTAGTTTCTCTTCCCGAGTATAATTTCAAGTGAAGGAGACACCAAACATTTCCATCTAGCATAACATTTATTTCCAATGCCCTAGTTCTCAAAGCCACTAGTATTCCAGGTTAACCAAAGCTGCACCTAATCATAATATCCTGACAAGGTACTTAATATATTTAAATTAAAAAAAAAAATGAAAGCAGGAAGAGAATACATAGGTCTAGTGTAGTTGAACCCTGAGTAAAGAAACTACATATGTATATGGTTTAATGAACCAAGAATGAGGCCATTCTTGCAAGAAAAGTTCTGTTACAGCAAAATATCAAAGAGGCAATACTCTCTTAAAGATGGATTAATCTCATAAAGAGTTCATTGAAGATATTTTCTAAGCCATAGATAGGAAGGTAACATATAGTCACGAATTGACTTAGAGTATTATACCAAGCATAATAAGGAATTTTCTGATTATGGAAGCAATTAAAAGATCTGTCTTTCTAACTACTCAGAATAGTGTGTGTTTTCTTAACTGGGTTAAAATTCAACTTGATGGCTATTTAGAAAACAGTTAAATGGTGATGATTAGACTGCTTCACTGAATCTGTTACTATTTTCAAAAAAGATAAAAATGACTTCAACTTTACCTAACAAAATAATACACTGAAGAGGTGGTTATTTTTCAAAAAAAAAAAACAACAAAACAAAACAAAAAAACAACCCAATAAAACTTTTCTAACAGCCAATCTATTTCAGGTGTTGTGCAAGTTTTTCTTTTTCCTCAAGCCATGTGAATGTTGGTGAATAGCGATTCTGGTATTGCAATCAACAGCTTAAATGTTTAGGATTATCATATAAGCTGCACACTGTTTGGACAGGAATGTGGCTCTAACAACTTCAGGGATGTGTACTGAATCCAGCAGAACGTCTCTGGTCTGTTCCTCTTCAATCTCACAGGTTCCGCCCAGAGGAGACCTTTTAGAAATTCTTCACTGACTACCAATCTTCTTTGGATTAAATGTAAATAAATAACAAATAATAAATACCAGGCCCTGATATTTACACTTCACTTTCTTTTACAGCCTCATTTCCCCTTGTTGTCCCATGATTCTTGTGGTCCAGTCACTCTGAACCATTCACAAGTGTCTCTAGAAGACATCTTTCTGATACTTGCTCATGTATTTTTGTACATGCTGCTCCTTTCCTTGGAAGTTCCTGGAATAGGTACCTGATGATCCTCCCTGGCCATAGTTCAATTATTATTTCTTTTGTGAAACTCTCCTTTATTTCTCTAGACAGAATTTATATTTGGCTCTGTTTGTTCAGATTCTAACTTGCCCTACACTCTATGGTTGTATTTCTTATATTATTTCAGTTTATTTTTTTTTGCATTATTTCATTATTTCAGATGTCCTTCTAATTATTTATATTTTACTTAACTAGAATAAAATTAAGGATTTATCACCTGGACAGAATGAAGTGTTTTATTTCAAGGATTTACCAACCACTCTTACCCTTGTCATAAACAATTCCAGCACAAGAACATAACTATGTGGCCCTATACAGTCTTTAATGTTACTACAGAATTAGAAGCAAACGTGGTGTTATTTCATTCAGTTCATTTCCTTCTCACAGTTCTAAAAGTCTGAAGACACTTGTGAATTATTTCTTGCTTCTCATCATCACCCAGAGATCTCATCCACATGCTATTTACACTTTTGTCCAGATCATTATCTGTTTTGACAATCACCCTGCCTAAAACCACTCTCCAGCAGTTAATATCTTTTTGTCAGAAATGGGTCTCACTGCTAGAACCCCTACAAGGCTATGCAGTTGATGAAAAATCAAGAGAATACATTTATCAATTCAGATTTTAGGGTGCATTTTATGAAAGGGAAAAATGAATGAATTTGCTTGCTTTAAGAGGAAATTACTACTCCTTCTCTTTCATTCAGGGAAGACCTAATGTCTTACTGATTTATGTTTAACTCCTTTCATTTCCTTTTAAGTAAAAAGGAAGAGCAGGGCCTTTATTCTCCCCATGGTACATAATTTATTCAGCATGTCTCATTCTTCCTTTGAAGCTGTGAACATTGGCATCTAGGAGAATTCTAGGAGAATTCCTGAATTCTAGGAGAAAGAGTTAATATACGTAAACATGTAAACCAGAAGAAGATGAAAAAAAAAAAGAAGGATGTTGAAATTAAATCGGACAAACTAGAAAGCTTCTTATAGAAAGAAGTATCCACAAAGATGTAACAATATTAACAGCAGACTCTCTGAGTTAAAGTAGTAGCTTGGAATAAGGGTCACAATTGCAATGCCATGGGACAAATTCTAATGGAAAAAGAAATTCAACTTACCTGAGAGTTTTATTGGTACAGCTTTATTTTTAATTTGGAAATGTGTGGTGTAGTTTACCCCTAACTAGAATACCATGAAACCAATCCAAAAGCATGTTGATTCCCTATTCTTCAGATGTTGGATTTCTGTGAACTATAAAAGCCAAGTGTACTGCATGTCTGTTAAGGTTATGAATTCAATGTTTATGGTCCATAGTAAATGTGACTGGTAAAAATTTACAGTGAGTTACATTTTCCTGTGATTTGAACTATTTCAAATTGCATGAAGGTTTTTCCATTGTGTTGTCTTATTTCCAAGGAGTGAACATAACCACAAGGAAACTTCTTCCCATACCCAGTTGTGGTTATTTATGGTAAACATTACAATGTGATTATGGCTGTAATGCAATGTTTTATTTTGTATCTAATTTCTTTCCAAAAAAGTAAATGCCCACCATGACTACTAATCAAAGACTCAAGTGTTTTGGACAGAGTTCAGTGCATGGATTTCTGCTTTCACTTAAAGGAATTGAGAAAAAAGATTTATATTCATTTAGATCCCTGGAGTTAACACCCAGATTAAAACCAGATTATTCAATATATTGAGGACTCATTTTCTTCTTTTGTAGAGTGGAGAGGATAATACTAGATATGAAAGTACTTTGAACTACAAAGAATAAACGATTTCCTGCAGGACCAGGTGGGACTTAGACATCATAGTGCACATATATTCTGATATCCACAAAACCTGGGAAATACCGTTACCAAATGCCGAGAGTCCAAATTTCGAAGCAAGCCTTTCTTCACATACCTGCTTCATATGTGGTGGCGTGGGCAGTCATGCTCCATGTGCTTGACCTTCTGTTTTTTGTTACCATGACCGAGAACTCATACATCGTGTTGGGTTTGAGGCCTGTTGCTGTGTAACTCAGAGATGTTGTGTCTTCTGACTGTACAAGTGGGACATAAGCAAAGAGAAAAAAGATGAACTCTATCAACTTGGTAAATCAAAACATGTACAGAGACTACCAAATAACCAAAAAAGAGTCTGTTTCCAAACAGCATAAAAGCTGTGACACAGAACTGGCTCTACTTCCCTTCTGTCAACCAGTTTACACTGGCTGATTATATATCTAAAACATGGTGGATAAAATCAGATGTGATGTTGTCCAGAGGGGCGGCCAGCTGATCAATTTTCCAAGGAGGGCAATAACCAGTGTGTCAGGACCAGTTCTGTTTGCTTCTCAGTTCCGTTTTTAAGGTAATCTTCACTGACTTTAACTGTAATTTGTTTGTAATAATCCACAATACATTTACAATAAGCAAAATACATTTTATGTATTTTAAGTAGCTCATCATGATTGTTTTTCACTAGTAATAAAATTAGTTTTTAGAGTTTTACTACTTGTGATTTAAAAAAAAACTCTTTAGAGTACAAACTTTTAGTGATCCCAGAATCTATTTGAGTATTATAAAGAAAAAAGACAAAAGCAATTGTTGTAGTATGTGGTCTTCTTTTGTTCAGTGTTCACATTAAACACACATTTAAGTATGGTCACTGGAGCAACTGATTAGGAAGGGAATGACAAATTGGGTATTAAAAGATTATATTAGTGTTAATATTATTTGTCTTTTGAAACCATTCTTTTTCAATTAAATAGCAGGTTAAAGATATTTTAGTAGAAAGTAAATTATCTATTTTTATTACTTACTCAAGAAATCAAAAGGGTAATGAAAAAAATACGTTAATCTTCCAGGTTAATGCATATTTTCAATATGATCAGGCAAATTTAGCCTATTTATGCCTCTATGATACTTGTAAGTATCAGGTTATGCTTGGTATTTAAATCTTGACCCTCCTCCAAAGTTTCATATTTATTTTTACTTTTATATTCACTACCTTTGTTATATATCTATGTCTAGAAAATCAAGGAAAGATCTTTTTCCCCACCTATGTCACACCTATCTCCTCCCATACTACTGTAGTGTGGTATATCTTTTTTATTGTACTATGAATCCTTAGATTATAGCTATGAAAATCCTACATTTCATTACAAAACCAAATAAATATTTAACTGTACTAATAACATTTTGATGATGTGCCCATCTATCCTATTAAAGTGATAACCTCATAAACATCTATCAGAAGCTCTTCTTTAAAAAAGCTATAAAAATGTGGGCCCTAAGTAAATGTAAAAATACATTGTAGGCTCAGGAAGATGGAATCCCATCAAATAAAACACAACATAGGCAGCTAGTATCTGACATGCTGAAATATAACTTCCAATCCTGTCTTCTTCACTATCATGAACACTTCTAAGTCTTACAAATGGAAATAAGGGGAGAAATGGGATGATGATGATGAAATACTTCAGTTAGGACAAAAGGATCATACTTTTTATAAAACTAGTCTCTCTGACAATAAAAATCACTGGTGTTTGGGAGACCACTAAGTAATATTGTCCTTGTTTGCATTTTAGAATGACATACTTGCATTCTGTAAATACCATGAATTCACTGTTTTCTCGGGAACTTCATGGAACGTCGTTGCTCAGAATAAATCATTAGCCTAGAAGTACTTTGGAAATTCATGGTCAGCTATTTTTGTGAGCATAGACTACCCAGGTACTACCTCTCTGAGCCTCAGTTTGCTCATCCATAAAATGGAGATAACTGTAGCACTGACCTCCTGGCATTATTTAACGTGTAAAGTAAAACAGTATCCAACCCAGGGAAGCTTTAGATAAATGTTAGCTACAGGATTTCATGCATTGTCTAATGTGATATTTAACTTTACACATGCATTAGGTTCCCTATTGGGAGGGATATCTCGAGGGTGAAACTGAGTCTTGAAAAACTCTGTACCTTCTGTAATACCCATGTTATATCTGGTAAGCACTAGTCAATACTCAATGAATGAGTTTTGAATAGAAATTTGTATAAAACATCATGTGATTAATCATTTTAGTAGAAACTAAATTACAGAACATTGTTCCTTCTGATAAGGAAAATCAAAACAGAGTTTTAGACAATCAAAATATAAATGTCTGGATTAAGCCTTGATATGGGATTACATGAAGTAGAAGGGTACTCCCGTGGAGATAGCCTAGAAGAACGCCATAAGGTCATGCAAGCTCTAGCTGTAGTTTCTTGGGAAATTGTTTTTCAAGTTATACCACCTATCTATGTCTTCATAAAGGGATCTACATACATGCTTAATTACAGAGAAGCTTATTTTTTTTACAGTAGGTGTGAATAATCTAGTCATGTAGATGACAAGGGGATTGAGTAAATGCAGTGACATGACAGGGCACAGCAAAACCAATGCTTGTGCCCATGTCATCTGACTCCATGTACTGATTTTTCTGCCTCTATCTTGTACATGCTCTGCCTACCTTCTAAAGCTGTCCTGGGGAGTGAAATGAAGTAATGGGCATGAAAGTAGTTTGAAAAGCTCACAATGGAAAATCAAAGCATTCCATTACCATTATTTGTAAAACTTAAGTTTATTGTACTACTTTCTAGGGGACTAGATACGTTCTGTATTTATCTTTGCTACCCAACGTACTCCACTCTGTCCTCTAACTCTCTTCTTCACAGGGTGTAGATGTAGAGCATGGGTGCGTAAGAAGGGGGACAGAATGTTAGTAACTAAAAGCCTTAGGTCAGGGAAGATGGTGGGAAGAGGAACATTTAAAATCTTTGTGTTCTATTCCCAGATATCAATCCATGAGAGAAATCAGCCTCCACTTACAAAATAGCTTTTGGGTTGAGTCTGACTTTGCAGGCATTCTTTGTGAGACTCAATAATTCTGTGTCTGCTGTATTAACTATTCAACTGAAATAATTTGCCTCAAGAAATTTTGGAACTTAAGCCATTATGCAGAGAACAATCATTGTCCCTCAGAACATTTCACATACTGGCAAAGTACCCATTGCCATTCTGTGAAATGAAGGTATCAAGAAAGTACAGCAATTATGAACATAAAAATTTTAAGGTAGTCTTTTAAAAGCAAACTTAGAATTGGGCAATCTGTATATAAAGAGAGACTTAAAAAAATGTTCTTATGTATTTCATTGGTTGTCCTATCTGATAATGTTATCTTTATTTATAGTTCTGCTGAGTCTTAAATCTAATACTGCAAGGAGATGGATAGGGTACTTACAACATATGTTACATCAATGATACTATTTGGACTTGCCTGGAGAGTTTTTCCAAATACCTGACCTAGCAGGGCAGCAGTAACAAAGAAAGCTTTTTAAAATGGTTTCGCCTAAAAACTGATATATGATGAAATGTGAGTTTTATGCCACTTAAAATTTCAAAGAGACTAGAAGGAGATCCAGCATGGCTACAGGAAGAGAGAGAGGCAGATTTAGAATATTATTGGTGGGATTTTGCTTTATCTCCAGGTTCTTTAGAGTCTGACACTCCCAAAGGATACTGTCATCCCTGAAATCACCACTGGCTAGAGGCAGGATTAAGCAGGATGGCAGTTTAGTGGAAAGAACACTGGATAAGATATCAGGAGGTTCAAATTCTGAGAGGTATTGCAGTAGAGTGGTAAAGAGAAGGCACCTAAGGGTCATACGAAGAAGCAGGAGGACCAGGATTGAACTATTGGTTCCTTGGTTATTTGGTTGTTGGGTACCATGTATGATCTTATTTTTAAAGCTACCTTCTTGATCCCAAATCCTCATCTTGTAAAGCTTTATATTTTAAATGAGCATTCATATATTATCTCACATGAGTAGCTTATGAATTCTTTGAAGTGTAGCAATGGAACTGAGTGTCTTACCCATTGCAAAGTTATAAATAATATGTTAAGTAGCAACAACTAAGCTGTGTTTAACTGCCTCTATAATCTAGTGCAGTTCTAGGTGCACAGTAGGTACCTGATAGTCACCTGTTGTTTTTCTCATTTTTGTCTATATTTTGTGTACTGTTTGTATATACTAATATTGTGGCAGGCTTAGGAGGTAACAAAGTTGTGCCCATATGTAACTATTTGTTGGAGTTACTTAGGCCGGCTGACAGAGATTTAAAAATAGTGAAGAAAATGCCTCAAATATCTATCTCTACAGAGCTCTTAACAGAGTTATGGGATGAGTCGGTGAAATGGGTTGGTCTCATTCATATTAGTCAAAGGGGAGTGTGCACTGTGGTTTTCTTTACCACGTGAGGGTGTTTCAAGGCTAACTGAGGAAGTAGATGCCAATGGCTTCGAGGGCTTTCTAAAGACCTTATTACAAAATCTTCTCTGTTCCCAGTCATATTCGCTGTCAAATGAGTCTCTGTCGCATTAATAGGGTTGCCTTTGGTGTCAATCTAGAGTCCAAATAAAAAGAAAGACACCAAAATCTATCCAGAAAACTAATGTGGAGCCCTGCTATTTTCAAAGAAAAATGGCATTCCCCTGTACAGAATCAGATTATTTATACAGACGCAGCATCTGGTGGAACTCAAATAACATTTTGCATTTCTTAATGTTTTTCTACCTTGCCTTAGAATTGTTTCCTAAGATACAACTATTCCCATTCTAATTTTAGATATTGAGTTATTAAAATGCCTTGTTTTCCACTTAGTGCCACTGCAGCAAAATGACTCATGACAGCCCAGGAAGCATTTAAAACAATGTATTAAGCAAATGACAGTTCATTTCAAATTTTACACTATCAATTAGAACTTCACCTTGTACTTCGCATTCGCAGAAAAGCTGGTCCTCCACCGGACAGTGTAAAGTCGCACTTCAGATGTTTTTTGGTTCTTAGGGACAGAGTTGTCTGCCCAGCTGACCCTCACAGCATCGTGGGTAAGAGCCACAGCCTGTACACCTACTGGTGGGAGCATGGGGGTGGAGACATCTGGGACCGAGGTGGGGAAATCATCAAGCAAAGGATAATAATCAACTGGGTCAGTGGGATCTGGGTTTAAAAACCCGCCAAATGAAACAAACAAATAAATACATAAATAAAAGAGTTAAAAAAATAAATATCAGTGGTAACACATCACAATGAGTTAAATGCATGGCAATAATGATGAAAGGGAACATGAGAAGAACAGAAAAAAATACAATTAATTCAATCGGAAAACTCATTAGAAACAGTATTGCTATGTTATAAAAATAACTGACTCTTTTCTATAATTCACTCATTTCCTTACAGTGGTTTTATCAACTCCACTTTTGGTGGTCACTTCTAGTTATATATTTTAAAAGTCCATTTTTTCTTGGAGTGTTGCACATTGCTTCTTAAAATGTTTAGCATAGAACTTAACAGTTTTATAAATACACAGAAAAAATAACAAGATCCAAAGGAGCGTTTGGCTTATTTCCTGCTGTAAAGGAAATAAGTGCCTATCTAATATCTGTTTGCTTATGTTTGTTTATTTTTCTCCCTTTCTAACTTGATTTGGTTTCCCTAACGCTTTCATTATTGCTTAGCTTATATCTGCATAAGTATTGTTTAAGCAAGAAACAAACAAGAAAGACCAAAGGACCCTGCAGTCCTTAGCACTCTGTCTATGGCTATGATTGCATAAAACTAGACTGACCAAGTCCATGGTCCACATGGTCCAATGATATGTTTGATAACTAGGTTTCTTGTAGCACTTGGTACAGCAGGTTTTCTCAGATCGAAATCCTTAAAGAAAGCATGAAGTGTCCGTTTTACCCACATTCTCACAGAGTAATTAGATAAGTTTTTAGACTTTTAAGGCATACCTAGATTCTATATTACTTGTTCCAAAATGTCAGGTTCCACGGAAAGACTTTATGTTATTGACGGGGAGACAGAACGAACTGTGTGAGGTACACACATGCTTTGATCCATTAACATAATCAGAACCTGCACAATGCTGTGTGTGGTTTTATAAAATCCTCTAGAAAAATTGTGTACTCTTTTTACGCTGGGGGTATCAGAATCAGAGGAGCTTATTTTCTGACTGTAGTAAGGGTCCAATTTTGAGTCTTTGATTTTATACCTAGGACTTTTACACTTTTGAAATTTCACCTTTAAATCATGTAATATTGTATTCTCACTAAGAAAAAGGAGCCTTCAGGCTGGGCCTATGATGACCTGGTAAAATGTGGAATATCTGAAGCAGTATACATACAGAGCTTATATTTTTAAATAGCCTAGTTCCAAGCACAGCAGCTGCTGGCTGGTTTTGTTGATTACTTCACTTTGTCCACTGTATTTCAAATGCCTATCCCCTACTCATTGCTCTGTTTTCCAATGAATTATTTAGTAGTTTACTGGGCTGTGGTCTTTGGAGCAAAATATAAAACCCAAAAACAAAAACAGAACAAAAGGAAAGGGAAAAAAAAAGAGAAAGAGAGAGAAAGAAAAATGTGTGTTTAAAATTTAATGACAGAGCCCAGGCTTTCCATATTTCCTTTGATGTGTCTTTTTATTAAGGGCTCCTTTAAACCCAAATGGATTTATGAAATGATGAAAGGGGAGCTGAAGAGCATCAAGGAGGATCCTGATCAGTCATCAGGTTGGTGCCCTGGTGGCAGGTGTTTTGGCCAAACTGAGGCTGGTGCTGCCTCACTTGTTTCTATTCTTAGCCGACTTTCCAAGAAGAAGGTTATACACACGGGAAGACCGCTCTGAATCACAAACTTCTTTGTTGACCGACCTATATAATGTGTTATACCTGATTTGTTGTTTCTTTGCTTAACCTGGCTCTTACACCTATATGAATAATAATAATCTTCCACAGGTGCCATATATGAGGTTTTAAAAAGTAGCAATTCTACTAAAAGAAATGTTAGCATTCAGCCTGGCTGTTTTTGGATTGTAGAATGCTATATTTTTCATGACTTGTGGAGTTTCTTGGAGTCTCAGTTCCAGAATGCGTTCCCTAAATTTCAAGTAATGTTGTTTATTGGTATTTATCTATGGACTTACATAATTTAAGAATTTCTATCTCTGGCCAAGTTTTTCTTGACTTTTTTAAGGCAATTTGTTTTCGGGCATGGCTTGTCACTTATCTCCTTTAAGTTGCAAATTTATACCATCAAATACAAGAGCCACTAATTACATGGGCAATTTAAGTTTGAATTAATTAAAATTAAATACAATTAAAAAATCACTTCTGTTGCACTAGCCAATTTTAAGTGTTCCATGGCCATAGAAGCCAATCTATCATCTTGGATAGTATAGATATGGAAATTTTCCAATAAAGCAGAATGTTCTAGTGGATGGCAAGCCTTACACTAAACACATAAATGCCACATACACTGCTAATTATCTTTCTCTCAGGAGAGAAACTGCTTGAGTAGTTAAGTTAAAAATATTCTTTTGTTGCTGAACAACTTTTTCCAGTTTTCAGGTGCCTTATATGCTACTGATTTGCAGTGGTTATATTCAAGAGTAAAAACTAAATAAATCAAAAATTAAAAGGGCAAAACATAGCCTCAAAACTTTTGCTAAAAAGAGAAATCTATTTGGTTCCTAATAGATGTTTTGGTAAGAGTTCATGAATTTTTGGCTAACACGCCAAAGTTCAAAGCAAGCTTTGAAAATAATAACATAATTTTGCATCTGGATTATACTTCATTCAGACATTGATGAAACAGTTGAGAATAAACAAGTTCAAACGACACACCTCTTTATTCCTTTGCCCTCTTCCCTTATCCAGGCTCAAAATGTCTTGTTCTTGCAACAATAAGAAATAAAAAGCTCTACTGAAAACTAAAAACTCTTCACATACCCATTTGACCTGGTGAAACTTTCCTCAGCTCTAATACTAATATATTCAGGATGAAATGAGGCTCCAGAGTGTGCCAACATCTAAGAGCATATACTTGTAGAAAGCATCATGGCCTGATACTTACTCCAGCCTGATGCATTTATTGCCTGTGATTTTTTACTTACTTTATGCTGTCCTCTTCCAAGTCTTCCCAAGGGAATACTTGGGAGAAGCTCAAAGACAGAGAATGTCTTCTCTGTGGCATTATGACACATTTATTGATAGAATTTCTCCCAGAGCCTTAACCTTTCATTCCATTTATTTGTCCTTTGTTCTCCATGATGTGGGGAAACAAAGTAAGTCTGCCACATCCAAGAAAATTGTATACTTTTCCTCTGGAAAGAACTGGTTTTATTCATTCCTCTTCAACCCCTTACTGACTCTGCTTCATTTAGAAAATGCCTTGCACAATTTCTAAGTTTTGGTATCCATTTATTTCCCAGATCCATTAGGATTAGAGTCCAATCAGGAAAAAAAATAGTCTTATGGATCACTGGTATTTTAGAAACCACTCTGGGAATGCCATATGTCGAGGATTAAACAATGACAATAAATGTGAAGGCAGAAGTTAATGTCCCAAATGGTTCTTTTTGAGCAACTTATCTTCAGTTTATCTCAACTCTACTATTTTTACTACTACTACTACTACTACTACTTTCTGCTCAAAAATTGATTTTTTTGGGGCGTGGTCATCTAAGTGTCCCTTCTTTGTGGGCTCTACTTTTGATAAGAAAATAGTTTGAAATAGTGACAGTATTACTAATTTGTGTGGCCTGACCACAAGCTCAAAGTCCTGTTGATGAGCCGGTGCTCAACATCTTTCACCAGAGGCAGGAAAAAGATGGACTAAAAAAAAAAAATTATGGGAAGGACAAGTACAGCTAAAGTAGCTCGTTATTTCCCAAAGAGTCCTGCTGCTGGCAGAATAAGAACATAAGGGGAAATGAAAGTTCTAGATACCTCCATTACGTTATGTTTCCATTCTGGACCTCCACATGCTTCATCTCTCTGTGTTTAGAGATCGTATGTTTGACAGTAAAGATTCTCTAAGGTAATACTTCTTATGTGCCCTTCTGGGGAGACATGAGTCCCTTGGGTAACACAATGAGAGACCTAAACGGTCTCCCCAGATAAATGAATATATTGACACATACCCCAAATTTTGCATACCACGTTAGGCAGGTCATAGACCTTGAAAGATTCAAGGAGACTGTGGAATAACAACTTTGCCTTACAAGAAAATCTGGTTGAAATCAATAAAGTGATGGTATATTCTGGGAACCATCATATGAATTCATTGTACAACTGTGTATTCTTAAGATAGTCTATGAAAGGAGATCATGAGTTTGGAAAATAAACTGTACAAAGTTTACATACATTTAGGGGGTAGCAAAAGATCCCACTATTTATTCTATTTTGATTTATTTCTCCTTGTCAGGAGGCATCTAGTAATTTTCCATGTCCTTCAGTTCTTGCTATGAAGTCCTGCTCTCAGATCCTTTATTCTCATTAAGGTGAAGATAGCTGATGAGTTAAATGAGGTCTGAGGCTCGTGAGTTTTGAAAGGGGGCAGGATCGAAGTGTTCATTAAAAAGATGGACCTCTTGAGTTTTACTTTCAGATTTTAGACATAAGGCTCTTGGAGGTGATTGTGTGACTTTCTAGTGACTCTGAACAGCTCCCCCCAGAATCTAGTGATTCTGAACAGAATAAGGGGGTACTTAATTCTATTTTTTTTAAAGCAGGTTTCATGTCCAACATGGAGCCCAATGTGGGGCTTGAACTTACAACCCTGAGATCAAGACATGAGCTGAGATCAAGAGTTGGACACTTAACCCACTGAGCCACCCCGGTGCCTTGTACTTATTCTATTTTTGAGTAAGTCCAGCCTTACTCCACAAATAGTCTCCATAAATGTCCTGGATCTCACTCCTTTCTGAGTTCTTTGGGCTCTTTTTCTCTTGTGTGCTGCCTTTACACTCCAACTCACATAAGAATTCCTAGAGGTGTTAAACCTCAGAAGCAGCAAGTACTTCCAATGTCATGATGCTCTGGGCACTGTTAGAGTGACCTGTAGTTCCTGGTTCAGGGAAAGGCCACCTGTATGACTCAGCCTAGTCCAAACCAGTCCCAGGAGGTCAGTCCTTCCTTGTCATATTAGCTTGAAGGATCCTCTGTAGAGAAGCATGTGGCCATCTGGGCATTTGGTGGCTTTTATGTGGAAACTTTCCTGCCTAAATTGTGCTGATATGCAAGATGAAACAAAATGCTCAGGAGAATGAAGAGTGGTATTGAGGAATCAAAGTATGAGCTATTGAAGAAGACAGAGAAGAAGAGATCCCTATCCTCGAAGCCCACATACTAATTTATAGACTGACTTCCTCTCAATTTTGAAAACCAAGAAAATAATGAAATATGTGCGTGTATATGTGTATACATGTATATCCAAACACACACACACAGACACACACACACACACACATACTCATAAGGCTCAGAACATGACTACATACATTTTGGTTTTTTTTCTTTGTATTTTGTTTTATTTTGCTTTAGGCATTTGGTTTTGTTTTTGCCAAAACAACTCAAACACTGACTACCTTGTCACGAGAGGATTAACTATTTTAGCTTACCTGTTATAGATCTGGTGGTGGCACTTTCATAAAGAGGAACTCCTTCTCCTGCATTGTTAAAAGCTTTTAGGGAGATGACGTAATGGGAACTTGACTCTGAAGAAAAACAGAAAGAAAATAAACATGTTGATTTATTTAGTGTACTGAAATATCCAGGATAAACATTTTCCCCCAATACAATTTAATATGATCTATTAAGTAAATTGTTGCTTAAAAATGAGTGAGTTTGCTTCTGGGAACTAGGTGGCAGTGGTGACAATACAGTTTTTGATCTTCCTGAATCTCCACAAAAAAAGAGACTGAATGGGGGTGCCTGGGTGATTCAGTCAATTAAGCATCTGATTTCTGCTTAGGTCATGATCTCACATTTCATGAGTTTGAGCCCCACATCCGGCTTTGTGCTGACAGCTCAGAGCGTGAAGCCTGCTTTGGATTCTGTGTCTCCCCCTCTCTGCCCCTCCCTCTCTCTCTCTGTCTCTCTCAAAAATAAATAAACATAAAAAAAGAGAGAGAGACTGAATGACTAGATAGAAAACCAAAAGCATCTGGATAATTACAGCAAAAGTAGGTGATGAGCTAGCTGTATATACTCTCAAACTCTGAAATACAACTGGATGTGGACAAACCACCACCAACCTTAGGACTTGCATGTTATCAGCAGCTATGTAGGAGAAATCAGAGGGAAGCATCAAACCTGAAAACAGGGTAATTCTAAAATAACCATCACCTAATGCTAGAAAATGCAGAAGACCAATCTGATAACATAACCAATCTGATAACCAATCTGAGTAAATACAAATACTCAAAAGTAGCTTGGAATATCTCCTCTCCAGAACAGGACTTATGCTGGGGACAAAGTACTGGGTACAGAGTTACAATCTGAGCAGACAGAAGTAACAGAAATGAAAGGGAAGAGAAAGTCTAGATAAAAGTAGGGGAGAGGAATAATCATGAAAACTTAGAAAGCAAGTTGCCATACAGTTTTCAGTGTGTATCAGGGGTTGGCCAACTTGTCTCGTAAAGGGCCCAGATAGCAAATTTTTAGCTTTACAGATCGCATTGTCTCTGTCATGTATTCACCTGTGTTTGTTTGTTTGTTTGGTTGGTTGTTTACAACTCTTCAAAAATGTAAAAACCATTGTTAGTTCAGTGGGATCCAAACAAAAATAGGACCTGGGCCAGATGTGACCCACAGGCTACAATTTACAGAGTCCTGAGCTCTGGCCCAGTGAAAGGAACAGAAGGAGCTGTGTGGATTTAGAAAAGCACATTAAACAGGAACATAGGGAACATAGGGAAACAGGTCACATGAAAGCAAGCAAGCAACAAAAGTCTGTTGAGGTTAAATGCCTTACAAAATAAAATGAGGAGAATGCCACTTCTATAGACAAGCACACTCCCAAAAAGGGATTGAAAATACACAAGGAAAGTAGGTCACACCTGTGATTGACTATTTCAAAATGAGCTAAACCACATTAAGAAAATTAGATGCCAGATATTCAAGAGTAACATAAATTAGAATTAGAAAAAAAATAGAAGTGAGGTGGCATAACTCAAGAAAGAATAGGTAAGTAAAAACATAATTTTCAAAATAAAGCATGACTAATGAACAAACAAGCTCAAGGAAAAACAAACACAAAACAAAAAGAAACGAAGAGAGAGTAAAATAGAATTCAGGAGAGAGTGATGAACAGAAGGAAGTTCTAACTGATGAGTAATGCAGTTCTAACTGATGAAAAAGAAAACCAAAGAAAGACAATGGAGCAAATACAAAAGAGTGGAATTCAAGAAATGTTTGGGGAGTTAAAAAAAATCTTTTAGGCATCTGGACAGAAATAATACATGACCTATCAGAGGACAATTAAATTATGATCAGACTTTTGCACAGTCCCATTTTATGCCAGAGGGGATTGAAGTAATTTATTTGAGATATTCAAGGTAAGAAAATGTAATTCAAGGATTTTATAGTTAGCAAAAGTTAACTTTAAACATGATGGCACACCCAAGCTGGTATCAACATATATGCAACCAGGGAATGTTGCTTCCTTGATCCTGAGAGCTACTAGAAAATGAGCTTTCGACATCCTAAATGACCAAGGGAGATGCAACCCAATAGTTAACTGGTGAACAACAAATGCTAGGAACTAAGACGAGGTGAGAGTTAAAAGGAGAAGATTTTATTTTTGTAATGACTACATGTTCTGACACTGTAGCTAGTCTATAATCATAAGTCAAAACTAAGGGAGAATAGGGGTACTGTATGCAAAAATAAATGTTTCGATAATTATTATTCCTGGTGATACCATTATTCTTGTTATGCTGAGACTAATGCAATATTGGATAAAGCAAATGAATAATCATGAGAAATTATAATCCTATCATCCTGTGTCCTTAAGAACCAGAAAATTAGTGTGGATTAAAGGACACACTGATGTAAAATAGAAGAAGTATATAAAGTCTTATGTTTCTAAAATTTAATTGGAAAGACTCAGTTTAAACTCAAAAGGCATTTTCTCTCTGTTGTAGTTCTACCCACTGAAGAAGTCTAGAGATATTGTCAGTAGGGGTGCTTGTTAGCACCCCTAATGTCCCGATTAGGATTTTGAGAAAAATACTTTTTTGCACTTCAAGAAACAAGGGGTTCTTGAAAACCTGGTTGATTCCTGGGCTGAGGTAGGATGCATATCAATTGAGCCTGAAACATGTTGATGTAACCAGATAGGAAGCGACCAAAGACTAATAGGCTCATGTCAAATGGATTCAGGAATCAAATTGAAGAGGCTCCAGCAGACCAAAGATGAAGACAATCTGAGATTCAATAAAGGTAAGAGTTGCAGTGAATTGAAACCCAGCAAATACATGTGAATGTATGAATTCATAAAGATATTTTAAAAAATAACAAAAGTGGGGCACCTCAGTCGGTTAAGCATCTGACTCTTGGCTTCGGCTCATGTCATGATCTCATAGTTCATGAGCTTGAGCCCCCTGACAGGCTCTGTGCTGACTTTGCAGAGCTTGCTTGGGATTTTCTCTCTCCCTTTCTCTCTGCGTCTCCCCTGCATGTGCACACACTCTCTCTCTCATAATAAATCAACTTAAATAAATAAATAATAAATAATAAAGTCGGTGACTTCTGAGGTTGACAGATAACCAAATTGTTATCTTGAAAATTAGGTAAAGGATCAAACATTATGTATTTCTTAAATAAACTCTATGACTGTGTAACCAACAGAGTGTGAGGGGAAGCATCCATTTATAATCTCATTCCAACTAACAAGTAAAAACCCAATGATAGAATTCAAATATTACTATTTTGCAGCTCTAATGAACAAAAGGATATGGGCATTAGTATTTGTGATGGCTAAGATAAAATACAGATATCTAGGCACTACGTATCTCCGAATAAAAGAACTCCCTCCCTCTAGAGTCTTGCCAAAGGATGGAATCTACTTAGTCTGATCAAACCTCTAGATTCAAATGCCAGTTTGCAGGAATAGAGCAAAGAAACAGTTCAGTCCAACTAATGATAATTCATTAAGCTATATATTTGTTGCATGTAGTTTTCTTTATCTTTTATTTAACAATTAAAAAAAGCTTTAAAAATGAGTGAATTTAGGGGCACCCAGGTGATTCATTCAGTTGAGTGTCTGACTCTTGGTTTCGGCTCAGGTCATCATCTCATGGTTTGGTTCCTGAGTTTGAGCCCCGCATTGGGCTCTTGGCTGACAGAGGAGAGTCTGCTTGAGGTTCTATCTCTCTCCCTCTCTCTCTGCCCTTTCCCAGCTCATGTTCTCTCTCAAAATAAATAAACATCTTAAAAAAAATAAGTGAATTTATCTCTGACAGTGTTCTTTGAAAATTGATTAGATGACTTTTTCTTCATGAAATTTTATGTAACCTAAATATTAGCATTCAAGATATTGACATTCCAAACCACAATGAGCCACAATATAGCAAGAGGAATAGAATAATATTATGTTTAATGTAGTCAAAGGGCTTCAATTAAGTGAATTGCTTCCCCTACAAAAGAGGATACTTATTTATTAATTTTTGCTGTGAACCTAGTTTACTAATAAGAAAGTAATCGGTCAACAGTGATAAATACTCTTGGAGATACAAGATTATTTATAAAAGATACACCTCTGTTGTCAGTTTGCAACCATAATTCTGGGCAGAGAAAACAATGAACAATGAAAGATTGCATAAAATTAAGCACTACAGTTTATGACACTACTTGTGAATGCTATGTGAGTTTAGAGGACTGGAAAATTAGTGAAGGACTGGGTCATCAAAGACTTCTTGGCAGATAATGGACTTGGAACTAGGGCTTGAGAATATGGGTAGGATTTAGAGATGGAAGGATAATAGAAAATAGAAAAAAATCTCAGGAAAAAGGCGTATGTTAAAAATGCAGTTAGATGTGTCAGCAAAAATACTTTTCTAGTAGGAAAAGCATCCTTTATGGTTATTGAAATGGAGACAACGTCTGATTTCATACACGTGACTTATCTGCACAATTACAATGTAAACGATTACATTATGTTCAAACCCTATATAATAGCCTTTTGGTGGGTAAAATTGCATTTGGTTTTACATTATACACATATAGTATATATTTGCATTTATCTATGTATTTATCAAGGGAGTGAGGAAGAGGTTAACAATTCCAAAACTCATGTGCTTGGGAATTAGGGTTTTGATTCTTGTTTGGTTTGGCTTGGTTTGACTTTTTAAATCTGAAGGAGAGAGAAAAGGAGAAAGGCAGAGAGAGGAGAGAGAGAGAGAGAGAGAGAGAGAGAGAGATTTAGTCACAAGGTGTGAGATACAATAGGGCAGAGAGGATGCTTGACAGTAATTCATCTAAGTAATTCACCTAAGGAATGGAGCCACCACTCTAAGCTGTTATTAGCATGTGGAAGGCAGTCTTCTAGCCTATCAGCGTATGAAAGGTAGGCCACAAATCTATAAACTCAGATTCCTATATATACAACTACATGCAAATCTACACCTATTCATGGAAAAATAAATGATGAAGTCTGGGCTTCCTTAGTTAACATGTGAACCATAAGATCAACAGCAACAAAGTAGAAACTATA